CTTTCCCTCAACTATTTGTGCCTCATTTCTCTCTACTAGAACATTTTCTCCAAAAACAGGAACCAAACCTTCCTTCTGCCCATCAGTAAACATCACTGAGCAACTATTATGATGCCATACCCTGTGCTCCTTAAAGGGGATGAAGGTATGACTCTGCCCATGAAGGAACCAATTGGGAGGACAAGTAAACATGCAGTAACCAAAAAGTATGGTACATACCCTGTTAGAGAAATACCCAGTGATAGATGCTATTGGGAATCCAAATCAGACTGCAAGTACAGTTAACAGACCTTTCAAGGTATGCCCCCATAATGCTGATATAATCCGTGGCACACAATGGGTGCTGCATAAATGGATGTTGAGTAATCTGGGGGAAAATGTTGTAAGATATTATTATATATACCCACTAACCTTTTCATCTCCATACAGACCACCATTAAGAGCTAGGAATGGTTCCTCACTCATCAATCCCTAAACAAAATCACTGCCCCATTCTATAGATCAGAGGGCTGTACCCAATAAAAGGCAAGGAAAGTATTACAATGGAGATCAAAACAGAAACAGTCAATATTCAAATTGAAGATAATCTGTCAAGATTCACTTTACGTTATCAATCTGAAATAAATCAGATAAAAATACCGTCATTATTTTAAGTATTCTTCCATTATGTTTAATATTTGTGCTTCAATAATATAAATAGTTAAAAGAGAGGAATAATTGTTGAAATATGAATAAAATTTATTTTTAATAACCTATGTATTCTGTAACAGACATAGAATGCAAATTTTTATTTAAAAAAATATTTGCAGTCCTCTTTTATTGTTAACATAACTGAGATACTTATTTTATAAATTTAAATTATCTTGAGATTTGATAGCAGTATTTAGCTACAGTGTAGCCGAGAAATGAAAATATACAAAATAGTTTTAGGAACACATGTATTTTTACCTGTGGGTACACTTATAAATCATACAAAGATACACATTTATTTTAAAATAAAGACTTTGAAAATGAAACCAGTTCATAAATTTTTTACCAAGTTCTGACAAGAAATCTTTTATGCAAAAAAAATAAAAATTGAAGCAGAAATAACACTTTCAATTTAGTCTTCTAATGTCTTAAAAATCACATCAATTCTACAAATTGCTGTTTCTGAGGACAGAACTATAACTGTTCCCCTCCCATTTTTGTCATGCTTATAATAAAACATAAAAACTACTCTAAACATAATAACTGGAATTCTTATATTTTAAACCATTTTAATATAAACGATAGCAATTCAGATCATGTTTTACATTTCTACTTAAGTTTATATTGCACTAAAATTATTTTACGTGGAAGAACTAGTTGCTGTGTCATAATACTTGGAAACATTCTTTGACATTCACATCTATATTAATGGATATTTCACAGTCCACTTAAATAAATTTTCTAGTATACATCAAATCATCTAACAAAAACAAATCTATAATGCTAACTTGTTTTGAGAGCAAAGATATTCAGTATTTACTATTACTGCCTTTGGGAAATACACTGACTTTTAAAAACACATTTAAATCACTCAGAAACTGGGAATAACATTTGAGCAATACCTGAAAATTCTTGACTTACTGATGAGTCTCTACGTGGTTACTTTTCGAATACAACATTTATCAAAAAATGAAGAGGAAAAGTGTTTGCCCTTTTATCCAGTGGAGCAGAATTATGAGAAGAGAAATATTAAGAATAATACTTCAATGTTGGCTTCTAACCTATGTTTTATATAACTTAAAATTTCAGCTCTCATCATTCTGCTGCAATATAACCAAGACTGTTAATAATAATAACAATAACAGCAACCAACATTAGAGTATTTGAAAATCATGATTACAATTAAAAGCTTGGAACAGCATGATAAAACTAATGGCAACCTTTTGAATCCCATTTTAAGTTAGTTCTATCCAAATGATACTTTAAAATGGTTTCAAATAACCTTACTGATTAGCCAGCATCAGCTTAGGATTTTTTTGCAATGTTCTAAGATATAACTTTTGGCATAAAAGTATAGTAAGCACTTTTGATTTGTGATGAATAGAAAAATCAAGTACTAAAATACCAGTGGTTCCTGTGACAGGGTAAATATGCCCCTTCAAGTAATGTTCTCCCCAAATTAAATTAACATTTTATTTTTCCCTCTGAGAGTTTATTAAGGAAAAGAAATAATGATATTTTTTAATTGAGGTGAAAAAACTGCTTCATAAGTTCATATGTTGTAAAAGCCACTGCCTGAGAAGGAACGCAGCGAATGTAATTAAGAGATAAACCACGATATAATCCTTTTCGAATTCCATGGTGTCCATAGACATACTTCATAGTCTCCCGCATGGTACTGAAAGAGAATGGTTAAATGATGACACCTTTATGCCCAGTCACGAAGAGACAATTTCAGGATAAAGAAGCTAAAAATGCCATCTTGAGTAGCTTTTGGAAGGCAAGTGTTAAAACAAGCTAAAGGACTTCCCCGGTGGCACAGTGGTTAAGAACCCACCTGCCAATGCAGGGGACACGGGTTCGATCCCTGGTCCAGAAGATACCACATGCCGCGGAACAACTAAGCCCGTGCGCCACAACTACTGAGCCTGCACTCTAGAGCCCGAGAGCCACAACTACTGAAGCCCATGCACCTAGAGCCCATGCTCCGCAACGAGAGAAGCCACTGCAATGAGAAGCCTGCGCACTGCAACAAAGAGTAGCCTCTGCTCGCCACAACTAGAGAAAGGCCGTGCACAGTAACAAAGAGCCAACGCAGCCAAAAATAAATTAATTAAAAAAAAAGAACAAGCTAAAAATTCATAATAAAAGAGCAATTCATTCCAAACAAGTACAAGCATTATGCATAGAATTCCGGGGCTCATTAATACAATATATTTTGTTTGCATTATGTCTGTGATATTTACTAGCAACACTGTTTCATAGTAATATTTGAAATATTGATGTAGTCTTTTTAAAGGATATATGAGCCCTTTAAACTCTCAAGTTTCTGCTCAAGTTCTATGCTACTAAAGCTTGAAGGACTATCTTCCAGATTTCATCAAAAAGACTTTCTTGTTTCAGTGTTCTTTCCTTTCAAACCAACATTTTGGGCTTTGTCTTTCTCTTTCAATATGCAATGTAGACTGAAATATTCAAAAAATCTTTTGGGTGAATGAAGGCAATTCATGGTCCTGAATAAACATTCTGCTCTTCCCCTGAGGAACAACACATCACCAATTAAACAGAATGATTCAAAATCTCTACAGATTATAGAAAACTCTAGAGCTGTGCTATGCAATAGTGGTAGCCACTAGCCACATGTGGCTACTGAGTACATGAAATGTGGCAAGTCCAAAATTGAGATGTGCTGTGAGTATAAAATACACCCTGGATTTCAAACACTTAAGTGTTTTTTTAAAAAGGATGTAAAATACTGAAATGTTGAAGTGATAAATTTTAAATATATTGGTTTAAATAAAATATTTTAAAACAATTTCATGTTTCTTTTTATACTTTTTTAATGTGGTTAGGTTACCAGAAAATTTTAAATTACATATGTGGCTCACATCATATTTCTATTTAACAGAGCTGCTCTAAAATTAAATTTGTTTTTGTTTTTTTTTTTGGCCGCAAGGCTTGTGGGATCTTAGTTCCCTGATCAGGGACCGAACCCTGGCCCCCACAGTGAAAGCACTGAGTCCTAACCACTGGACCACCAGGGAATTCCCTAAAATGAAAATTTTAACAGGAGGATTAGGACCTGATTAAATTCAGTTTACCAAAGAATACTATGGGAGATAAAATGAAAGCTCTAGACTACTAGTGAGATCACAGTCCTATCTCCCTACTTACTATACACATTACATTTCGTAAAGAAACTGAACAATGACAAATGAAGAACTTACAGGCACTTTTCAAATTCTGGAAGAACAGTTCCTAACTGCATTCGCCGACGTGTTACATCAAATGGGTAGCTAAAAGAAGAAAAAGAAGGACTTAAAAATGATTTTTAGTTTTCTACTCAGCAATTATTGAATACAAAGCCCTATGTATGCTAGGAAATAATGTGTTCCTATTTTCTTACTGTTTTGTCTAATCTGGGAGTCAGGATATAGGCATATGAATAAAATCAAATAACAATACAGAGGTCTCCTCGCCTTTGCCTAAGTGGTTCCCTTGGGTTAAATGATTCTTCTCTTTCATCACCCATTATCAAGTTCTATTTATTGCCCCAAACCAAATTAAATGCTGCTTCCTGAGGAAACAGACTGGGTGCTTTCCATTGTTGTAACCCTAAGACAGGGTTTCTTAACTTTGGCACTATTGCCATTTTGGGTTGGAAAATTCTTAGTTGTGGGAGCTGTCCTGGGCATTGTAGGGTGTTTAGGTAAATCCCTGGCTTCTGCCCACTAGATGCCAGTAGCACACCCCCAGTTGTAACAACCAAAAATGTCTCCAGACATTAATAAACGTCCACTAGAGACGAAACCACCCCAGTTAAGAACCACTACCCTAAGAGTATTCAGCAAGTGCCCCTGTATACAGTAGGCCAACAAAAAATTCTCCGTAAGGGCTAAAATTAACAACACAGATAATTGCATATAGAGGATAGAGAAAATTCTATGTGAAAAGATTGCCTGATTCTGCAACTATGTATGGTGATGAATGTTAACTAGACTTAATATCAAATCATTATATACCAGAAACTAATATTGTATGTTAATTATACCTCAATTTAAAAAAAATTTTAAAGATTGCCTAAAATGAAATATACAAAAGTAATCTCTTAGGAGTGGGACCCTAGGTGATTTTTTTTTTTAATTATTTTTTTGGGGCTAATGTTGACTGCTTATGTTAGGTCCTGTGCTAAGCAATTTATGTACATTATCTCATTCCATCTTTACAACAACTGTGTGAAGTAGGTACTGTTATCTCAATATTAAGATAAGAAAATTGAGTCTTAGGGCTTCCCTGGTGGTGCAGTGGTTGAGAATCTGCCTGCCAAGGGACACGGGTTCGAGCCCTGGTCTGGGAAGATCCCACATGCCACGGAGCAGCTGGGCCTGTGAGCCACAACTACTGAGCCTGCGCATCTGGAGCCTGTGCTCCGCAACAAGAGAGGCCGAGATAGTGAGAGACCCGCGCACCGCGATGAAGAGTGGCCCCCGCTCGCCGCAACTAGAGAAAGCCCTCGCACAGAAACGAAGACCCAACACAGCCCAAAATAAATAAATAAATAAATTTATAAAAAAACAAAAAAGAAAACTGAGTCTTAGAGACATTTTCCATGTCATAAAGCTGCTTTCTACTTCCCAATTCAAAGCTCTCGTTCATACATATACATATATACATACATATATATGTATATATACATACATATATATAATATATACATAAGTGATATATGACAAAAATAATTATATACTTTTATATACATTTAAATTTACTATGAAATAATTATAATAAAAAAACCACCCATGTACCAACCAAACAGCTTAAGAAATAACATTACTAATAGATGAAGAGCTCTATGCATCTAAGCAGCATCTCCATGAATTATCTTTTGTGTTTTTTTGGCCCTGCTTCATGGCTTGCAGGATCTTATCTCCCCAACCAGGGATCCAACACATGCCCCCTGCAGTGAAAGTGTGGGGTCCTAACCACTGGACCACCAGGGAATTCCCCTCCATGAATTATCTTTTTTTTAATTTTTAAAATATTTATTTATTTTTGGCTGTGTTGGGTCTTCGTTGCTGCACACAGGCTTTCTCTGTTGCGGCGAGTGGGGGCTACTCTTCATTGTGGTACGCGTGCTTCTCATTGTGGTGGCTTCTCTTGTTGTGCAGCATGGGCTCTAGGCGTGCGGGCTTCAGTAATTGTGGCACGTGGGCTCAGTAGTTGTGGCACACGGGCTTAGTTGCTCTGCGGCATGTGGGATCTTTCCGGACCAGGGCTCGAACCTGTGTCCCCTGCCTTGGCAGGCGGATTCTTAACCACTGCGCCACCAGTGAAGTCCTGAATTATCTTTTAATGGGAGGTGGAGAGAGGAAAAAACTTCATGGGGAATAAAGGGACCAAAACCTCAACCTGAAGGATTCAGTTTCCAAGCAGGAAAAGATGTGTCTGGGTAGAAGGAATTGATTAATAAAGAGAAAGTAAGAAGACAAAGTACAAGGATCAGAACTAGGGAAATAACAATGGGAAAGAAAGAAAATAACATTCTAGGTAATGTTTTAAAGCAAAAAAATGACAAAAATATTTGGATATGTACAATGTGAAAAATGATCTCAAGGTATTATCAGGACTAGAAGATTAATGGTGATCGATAACAAATATGAAAGTTGGGGGCCAAGGACAGACATGAAAAAGAAGACAAGAAAGCAGTATATGAATTACAGAGCTTGAACTGAGGACAGAAGTCCAGGTAGAAACATCCAAGAGCTTGCTAGAGAAGTAATAAGAGTCAGCGATGAAGATTTAAATAGAGTTAGTTATCTGTACAGAGGTGACCATTGAAACAATAAAGATAGATGAGCTATTCTGGATGTTTACGGGAAGAGCAGAGGACCAAAGTCTGGCTAGGCCTTAAAAAAATCAGCACAGATAGGTAGGAGGAGGAAGACATGAATCAGCAAGATACCTGAAAAGGGAAAGTTGCCGCAGCTAAGAGTTCGCATGTCACAACTAAAGATCCCACGTGCAGCACCGAAGATCCCATGTGCCACAACTAAGACCCAGCACAGCCAAATAAATAAATAAATATTTTTTTAAAAAAAGAGTCAGTGGGTGTAGAATATAGCTTATGAAGTGGAAAAGAGAAGACATTTTAAAGATCTAAATTGGAAGTAAATAATAAAGAAAAGGGGCAGTAAAACCAAGAAGAGAATCAGAATAGCTAGAGGTGATCATGTCTCTGCAAATGAACAAGGTTCCGCAGCCATGTTTCTAAAAGTAAACTACACATCTTTTTTTTTTTTTTTAATATTTATTTATTTATTTGGCTGTGTCAGGCCTTAGTTGTGGCATGCGGGATCACTCTTGCCACGTGCAGGATCTTTTAGTTGTGTCATTCGGGATCTTTAGTTGCAGCATGCGAACTCTTAGTTGCGGCATGTGGGATCTAGTTCCCTGACCAGGGATTGAACCCAGGCCCCCTGCATTGGGAGCACGGAGTCTTAGGCACTGGACCGCCAGGGAAGTCCCTACACCATTTTTCCTTTACTTTCAGTCTAGTATGATCTGCTCCCACACACAAGTATACTGAATCTGCCTTCACAAAAGTAATCCTCCATTGTGAAATCTGATGAATACCTTACTTTTCAGTACTTATCTTACTTTTTCTTTTTCCATTGGATACTCTTTTTTGAGCCTTTGTGACACTACTATTTCCTGTTGTCTTCCTGTTTTTCAGGATACTCCTCAGTCACAGAGAGCTTCCCTTCTTCCTGTTCCTGAAAAGTTCCTGCTTCTTAGTATTCCAGCCCTTTTTAAATCTCATCTATCCAATCTCTCTTGGTCTATAGAAATTCTCTACAGCCAACTTTCCAATTACACTTTCCACCTAATTTATCTATGTCCCTAATACACTTATATTAATATAAAACTCCCTTGCATTGCTACTGTCTTAATAAGAGTATAGGCTTCTTGGGACTTCCTGGTGGCACAGTGATTGAGAATCCTCCTGCCAAGGCAGGGACACGGGTTCAAGCCCTGGTCTGGGAAGATCCCACATGCCGCAGAGCAACTAAGCCTGTGAGCCACAACTACTGAAGCCTGCGAGCCTAGTGCCTGTGCTCTGCAACAAGAGAAGCCACCACAATGAGAAGCCCCCACACCGCAACCAGGAGTAGCCCCGACTTGCTGCAACTAGAGAAAGCCTGCATGCAGCAACAAAGACCCAAGGCAGCCAAAAAAAAAAAAAAAGAAGAGTATAGGCTTCTTGAGGCAATACTTTTGTTTTTCCTCCAGTGAAACTCCCAATGCCTAGCATACTGACTGGCACAAAGTAGGCCTTCAATATTTAGTGCAAGAGAAGTTGTACCTACACACACACACACACACACACACACACAATAAATGGCTCATATTTCAGAAAACTCATACAGGCAATTCATGAGGAAATATGGATGAAAACTGTAGTGTTTCTTTCTAGCTTTCTTTTTCCTTTCTTTTAAAATCCACAGAAATTGAGTAGGTTCAAACTAATTTGGTCAATTTGGCACGAAGTTATTTATAAATGCTTAAAGTGCAGGCACATTGGAAAAATGCATTAAATTAATATTTATATTTTGCAAGGGATCCTGTGTTTTAATAATCTATTAGAAAAAATAAGACAACTAACCAATGCTAAAAATCAGTATTGGATAAATGTAATTTAACTTAATTAAGTTGAACAAACTTACGATATTGTCTGTGCTATTGCTCCAGCAACACCACCACAAAGTAAGTTTATGTGAGTTTTCAAAACTAAGACATTAGGATTGTCTGATGAAGGTCTGCCAAGAAGCGCAGGAGCATGGGAAAGCCCAACACTCTTTAAGGTACCAAAAGTAAAAAATGAAACACCTGAAAAACAAAATATAAATTCACCACGATGCTTAACAGAGATGTGAGCTGTGAGAAGACACCATTCTTACATAATAACCAATTAACTCAAGGGACTAACTATGCATTTCCTGATTTCCAATGTTTGGCTTAATCTAAGACAAAAAGATTTAATTAATGTTTACAAATAACCTAAAGATAACAAAATTACCACCTATAAAAAATTATACATTGGTTTTTCACACACTAACATAATGTTCAGTTCACTGAATAAAGGTAGTAGTTGAGCATAATGCCACCTTATACATGAATAGAATTGAACAGTTTTCCAAGGTTTTACATAAGTAAAAGTTAAATTAATGATTAGTAACCTTAAGTAAACATGACATATTTACAATAACAATGATGGTGATAATGTAAGGTAGAGGCAAGAAATTCAAAAGTGATAAAGCATTGTTATTTCAATTCAATGTCTAATGTTGTCTTCGAGGAAGAGTTATGACAATGAGAGACTCACCAGACACATGGAATCTAATGAGTATTGAATTAAGTTATTAATAATGTGCAGTTGGTGCTGGCTGAATATTTACACGATTTTATAATAAAAGGATTAAAGTCATACATTAAAAAAATTAACAGAACTCAAGTATACTTATCAACTAAACATTACTCAAGATATCTTGATATCTACTGAATTTTAAAAACATACTGAAAAAGATACTTGATTCTTAAGAACAAATAAGCACTAACAAAAATTCAGTCTAGGATAACACCTAAATATATGCATTTATTCTTTGTATAAAATTCTTACAATCTTATAGTATTTTATAATGATGCTATACAACTTTAGAATATTCATACTTTTTTTAAAGAAGTGGTTTTTATTTTTTAATTTTATTTTTATTTATTTATTTTTGGTCGCATTGGGTTTTCGTTGCTGCATGTGAGCCTTCTCTAGATGCAGCAAGTGGGGGCTACTCTTTGTTGCGGTGCACAGGCTTCTCATTGCAGTGGCTTCTCCTGTTGCAGAGCACGGGCTCTAGGCACGCTTGCCCCAGCAGTTGTGGCACATGGGCTAAGTAGTTGTGGCTCGCGGGCTCTAGAGCACAGGCTCAGTAGTTGTGGTGCACAGGCTTAGCTGCTCCGCGGCGTGCGGGATCCTCCCAGAGCAGGGCTCAAACCCATGTCCCTTGCATTGGCAGGCGGATTCCCAACCACTGCGCCACCAGGGAAGTCCCCATACACTTTTATATATGGGAAATCTATTCTATAGACTTAAATACAGAAATTTTAACCACAGGAAAAGCTCACAACAAGGAAATTCATAGCAAATTAAACACAAGTAGAAAAAAATAGAAATACCTTAATTATGCAGAATGGTATTCACTGAAATATGACACAATTAATAAAAATGTGAATACTATTCAGAAATATGAAAAACATTTGGGAAATGGGAAAAAATTAAGAAACAAAATTATATACATACTATAACTATGTAACAAATGTATTTCAAAAACAAAACTGAAAACAAAAAAAAAATTAGAAAGAAAAAAATATAGTAAAAAAACTAAAGAGTTCTGATTCCAGCATAATGGCAGTCTAGGTATTCTGAGGGACTTTGTCATTGCAGAACAACTATATCCATTGCTGGGCTTACAAAAAGGAAGAGAAGGTTTCCAAGAATCCCTAGTAGCACCACCTTCCAAAAATATAATTTGGGGCCCACTTGGGAATTGTGGCCCATGAGAAAGTTGGAGTGACTCTACATTTTGATGGCAATAGCAGCCAAGCCATTGAGACAGATCCTGCCACTGGGCCTACAGAAGATGGAATCATTGGGTCAGAAACTCAGAGGGTAAGATCAAGTAATGGACTTATAATTAAAGACCACTCAAAAGAAGCCACAAGAAATAAAACAAACAACAAACTAACTAACTTAATAAAGACCATCAAGCTTAGGAGGAAGCAAATAAACATATATTTATAAAATATTGGGGGGGGGCTAAGGATTCAGAAAAATAAGCACACAAGATAAGAAAGGAATAAAAAGAAACGTAAAAAGAAAAACAGGGCTCCCCTGGTGATGCAGTGGTTAAGAATCTGCCTGCCAATGCAGGGGACACGGGTTCAAGCCCTGGTCCTGGAAGATCTCACATGCTGAGGAGCAGCTAAGCCCGTGCGCCACAACTACTGAGCCTGCACTCTTGAGCCTGTGAACCACAGCTACTGAGCCTACGTACCACAACTACTGAAGCCCATGTGCCTAGAACCTGAGCTCCGCAACAACAGAAGCCACCACAATGAGAAACCTGCACACTGCAAAGAAGAGCAGCCCCCGCTTGCCGCAACTAGAGAAAGCCTGTGTGCAGCAATGAAGGCCCAATGCAGCCAAAAATAAATAAATTTAAAAAATAAATTTATTAAAAAGAATAAAAAAAGAAAAACAAGTGGAAATCAATAGCAAAGGTAAAGAAACAAGTCCAAATATATCAATAATCACAATAACCATTAAGTATACTGTCAATTAAAAGATTTTACTGACCAGATTAAAGAAATACCCAGCTATATATATATAATGATTAAAAAATAAATATCTAAAACAAAAACATGACAAAGTAGAAAATGAAAGGATGAAAAAAGATATCCCAGGCAAATATTAACTTGGATCTGGGCAAAAAAAAATTATGAATGGGGGGAATTTGAACAATGACAATATACTAGATGATATTACGACAGTTTCAGAATGGTAAGACAAATACCATAAGATATCACTTACATGTGGAATCTAAAATATGACGCAAATGAACCTATCTATGAAACAGAAACAGAATCATGAACATAGAGAACAGACTGGTGGTTGCCAAGGGGGAGCGGGCTGGGGGGAGGGATGGAATGGGAGGTTGGGGTGAGCAGATGTAAGCTTTTATATATAGAATGGATAAACAACAAGGTCCTACTGTCTAGCACAGAGAACTGTATTCAATATCCTATGATAAACCACAATGGAAAAGAATATATATATAAAAAAAAAAGAATGTTGGGTTTCCCTAGTGGCACAGTGGTTAAGGGTCCGCTTGCCAATGCAGGGGACACAGGTTCGAGCTCTGGTCTGGGAATATCCCACATGCTGCGGAGCAACTTAGCCCATACGCCACAACTACTGAGCCTGCGCTGTAGAGCCCACAAGCCTCAACTACTGAAGCCCACGTGCCACAGCTACTGAAGCCCGCACGCCTAGATCCCGTGCTCTGTAACAAGAGAAGCCATCGCAATGAGAAGCCCACACACCATAACGAAGAGTAGCCCTTGCTCACCACAACTAGAGAAAGCCCGCACGCAGCAATGAAGACCCAACGCAGCCAAAAATAAATAAATAAAATAAATAAATTTATAAAGTCAGTAACGAGCCAAAATGCCAAGTATCATCACTTTTATTGACTACTGCACTGTAGGTCCTTACCTGTTACAGTAAGATAAGATAAGATAAGAAATAAAGATTTGAACAGAAGTAAGAAAAATGATGTTATTTGCACAGGATGTTATGGTCCACACAGAAAATCCAAAGCATTTACAAGTAGCATGGTAGCTGGCTATCATATCAACAAGTAGAATAATGGCTAGCTATAAAATCATATAAAAATTAAATCAAACAATAAACTGAAAATGTAATTTTCTAAAAGACACAACAAAACTTATGTCTATGAATATATCTAAAAAACTGTGCTTCCCTGGTGGCGCAGTGGTTGAGAGTCCGCCTGCCAATGCAGGGGCACGGGTTCGTGCCCCGGTCCTGGAAGATCCCACATGCCATGGAGTGGCTGGGTCCGTGAGCCATGGCCGCTGAGCCTGCACATCCGGAGCCTGTGCTCCGCAATGGGAGAGGCCAAAACAGTGAGAGGCCCACGTACCGCAAAAAAAAAAAAAAAGACTTACTATAAAACTGCATTCTATTACTGTTTTAAGAAGTAGCACTACAGATCAATGGGGAAAGGAGAAATTAATCAATGACTATCCTTAGGGAGGAAAAAAAGTAATTCTGGACAGATTAGGGGCTAAACTTTAAAATCATTCCTACAAGAAAATGAAAAACGAAGATTTTGCCAAATTTAAAACATACCTGCATATGGAGCCATTCCTAATATAGTAGGCATCAAGCCTCTGTAAAATCCAAGGAAACCACCTTCCTTTTGAGTGAAGAAAAATTAGAAGTGAAATTACACTGGGCTTATTATGATAAATGCAAAAGAACAAAAGCATACATTATATAGGAAAAATTATTCTGGACCCACACTGAAACACAGATGTGTTTTCACAATTATGATTAGTATCAGTAATTATAAGTAAAACAATAACTATTCAAAACAATGACATTCAAAACATTTGCCTAAATATAAAAGGACATGTTATAGACAAGAAAAGTAAAAATGAAATACCTTTGCATAAATTGTTTTGAATGCATGAATAATTCCCGTATAAGTGTGTTCCCCTTTCACCTGGAATGCTAGGCGTACTCTAACCATATCAAGAGGGTAAGTACAGATAACTGCTGTCATACCTGAAAAGAAAGCAGAAACTTAAACGTATAAGAATCATATATTATGGGTATATATATCTATAGATATATCTATAGATATATAGATATATATATACCTTTCCTATCATTAGTAATGCTCTCAAATTATATAGTAATGACGAAAACCCAATGAAATCAAAGTAATATTACTGACAGAATTATATCATAATATTATCAGCTGAAAAACTTGTAAGTAAAAGGGTCAGTTTGTAAGTTTTCAAGTTCTTCCCACTGTGAAGTTATAATGTTAACACCAAAATAGTACAGTGTTAGTGGATCATGTTAGTATTTTTTAAATTCTATTACTTGTCTATTCACAGGTAAGACATCAGAAAAGAAAAACTGACTATCTCCAAAGCACTAGGCAGGATATTTGACTTTTTCCTTATTTTCTCTAATCCTAAAATGGAGAGATGCTTAAGCTACCTAAGGAATTCTTTTAAAAATAAAATAAAGGCATTTTTAAAAAAAATTCAAAGCATGGTCACTATTTTCTTTCTTTCTTTTTTTTTTTTACTATTTTCTTTTTAAAATTTAGGTAAGGGTAATTCCCTGGTGGTCCAGTGGTTAGGACTCCATGCTCTCACTGTCAAGGGCCTGGGTTCAGTCCCTGGTTGGGGAACTAAGATCCTGCCAGCAGAGCAGCTAGGCCAAAAAAAAAAAAAAAAAATACAGGAATTCGATAAATAAATAAATAAAATTTACATAAATTTGTTACTGACTAAACATAATAAAAATATAAATGTCCAAGGTCATAGAAACAATTTATTTTAGGAATAAAATCTCCTGATAAACAAATTTAGTATTAAGTTCTAGATTTTCATCAATATATGATTTCAAATTCCATAAACTATCCAGGTGAATTTTTTTATTATTTATTTATTTGCTTGTTTGTTTATTTATTTATTTATGGCTGCGTTGGGTATTCGTTGCTGCACGGGGGCTTTCTCCAGTTGCGGTGAGCGGGGGCTATTCTTCGTTGCGGTGCACGGGCTTCTCACTGCGGTGGCTTCGTTCTTC